GAACTACATTCCCCAGGGGACTTTGCAGTCACAGAGAAGAGATACAACTCCTGGCAAGGTCACCTGATGGGCTCTTCTTCGCCTGCTCTTCTTCATTGGCTCTCCTCCCATCTCCCTGCTGCTCCACTGGACTGCGCATCTCACCTCAGTGTTATGGTGAGGCCTATCCACGTTTCGGACATTCTCTCTCTCATTATATTTGATTTAGTAGCTTCAATTTTAATTATATTGTATTATAGTGTGTTATCTTGCATTCCAATAATATATTTACTAAAATTAGTTTGTTTCTCCTCAGATTGTTGCCGCTGTTTTTAATTATTTTGGGGTTCCCTGTTCCCTTTTTCCAGAGGCACGGATTTTGCGAAATCCCTCCACCCCGCTAGTCATGGAACCGGGCCGAACCAGCCCATAAACCGTTGACATCATTTTACCTTCATAGCATACACAATAATAATATTTGGAAGAGATTAACCCTAAGTAAAGAAGTAGCAACTAGGTAGCACCATTGCCTTGCCCACTGCCTCCTGAGGACAGGCAGATGCCGAGATCCAACAATACAGAAATCAGAAACAGTACATGATTTAGGAGTTTATAGATACTAATGAGCACTAGTGCTTCCACCAGCAAGAAGAATTTAGAGGAAAGATACTACAGTTAAAAGCAAGTATGACCAAAATCCATTATTCTTAAAGTTACAGGTTATTTTGGTTTTGTTAAAAAGTGCATTTAAAACTTTCATCCAAAGAGGCCAAGAAACACCAACAATACACATTAGCTAAGCTTTTTTCCAGTTTTACAATAGTCAGAAGGCTAGTTAGCAAGAAAGCGAAGACTCAAGAACTAAGTTAAGCTCCTGAGATGCAGGCTGGAAGTGACAATTTTGTGAAAGACGATGGGAAATAAAGTACACAGGAACATGCCCAGCACCCATCTTCTACAACCACTAAAGCTTTTGTATCTTTTCAGAAAGAGATACAGTTCTCAAGTCTTCTCCCTTCAGTTCTTTTGGGGAAAGGAGGTGCCAGATTTCCAGTTTCCTGTACTTACAGGAGAGGAAACAATCACAAAAGGTTTTTTTAGACTAATAGTAAGATTGAGAAAGAAATTCAAAGCATTTATCAACCTTCACCAATTAAGCATTACCATAGCCCTTTGAAAGCTGTCCTCTGAAGTTTGGAGAGGATGAGAAAGAACACAAAAATAAAAGTACAAAGAACAGCACTAAGTAACTGTGAAGTTGTGGGAAAAAAAAAAAAAAACAGCGTGGAAAGCCTCCACCCTGGCTTAGGCACTCTGTATAGAGTTCTTCTGAGCCAGAAACAGCTGGAACCTCTAAAACCTCTGCCCGAAGCCCCCTGCCACTGGCCCGGGGGGAAGTTCGCACCTCGTCACAACGGTTCTGTCACTGAACTAAATAACAATAAGAAGAAAAAAAAAAAGCGACAGGACGAGGACAGTCCAGCACCCACTCGCCGCGGGCATAGCGCGACCGTCACCAAGACGCACAGACAGCGAAAGAAAGGGGTGGGGGGGGTGGGTCAGGACTCTCGGAACAGCCGAAATCTCCCGTCCTGTCCCCACCCGCAAGACCACGAAGAGACCCCAGCGGTCGCGGCAGACAGACCCAGGCAACAGGCCAGCAGCGGGGCCGGGAGCCTGGCCGTACCTTAAAGTAGCCGCCCTCGTAGAGAGTGTTGGGGGGCCCGAAAATCGCTACCTCCCAGTTGTAGAGATCAGACTCGTCGACCAGCGTGATACGGAAACCCTCCACCGGCTCCTCCTGCAGCGACTTCAGCTCCAGCATGAGCGCCTTCTGCGAGCTGCTCATCTGCTGTTGGGCCATGGCGGCGGCGGCGGCGCCGCCTCAAAGGCCCCTCCCCACACTGACAACAACCGCCGCCGCCGCCACTTCCTTTTGTGACGGCACCCACTCTCTGCTGACCTCAGCGCGCCTCTCCACGCCCCGCCCCGCCCCCGACGCTGCGCCCACAGCGGAGTGCTTAAAGGGGCAGTGCCACGACGTCAAGACTACCGCGTCACTTAGGACAGCCTGCCTAGGTGGGAGATGGAGGAGGTCTGTGGTGGGTCCATGGGCGCTCAGCTCTTTCCCCCAGGGAATGTGAAGGGACCAGGCTTTAGCTGCATGCGTAGGCAGCCACGTCAGCACAGATTTGAAGTGGAGCAGCCACCAAAGCATATCAATTTTCCTGGTTGAGATGACGGCAAGAGCCAACAGAGGCAGAGGCATTGTGGGCAGCCCCTGTCCTGCAGCGGCTTCCCAAGGACAGCCTGCTAACACAACCACAGCAGACCTATTGCAGTGCTGACACCATAAAAACTGATCAATCAGGAAACTCTAGGACTCAAGTTGGAGCATCAGAAAGCAGACATTCTTTAATTTCAGCACTGGATGCATGGGGGCTACCCCTCCTATAATGCATGATTACACAAAAGATCTTCAGCTTATATACATTACTTGTGTTACCTATGCAGAAGTTTTCCCAGAGGTATGTTACATATTCAGTGACTCATTCCAAGCAGGATCTCCTATTTCCTTGGTACAAAGACTCAGCAGAGCTTCCTTATCTCCTTGGTCCAGAGACACAGCTCTTCCTGTTATCTAAACAAATTGCAGGGCAGGACTATCCATCAATGAACACCGGCAAGCTTAACAATATCAACTTGTATTAATCCATCTTTCTTCTTTACGGGTTTGTAGCTAACATGCTACCACCCTCACTATATCAATTTATCTCCAACAACAGTCAGAACAATAATTGCAGCACTGTATCATTACACACAATTATACATACATCAATAACAAAGACAGTTATCAAAAAGTTTCTTCAACCAAGACCAATCAGATAACCATGAGGTCAGCTGATCCCAGACCCCCTTTAAACCCCATGAAGTGTCATCAAGGGATATTTGATGATATAGTTTCACAATTGTTGCTATATTTTCTCTATACCTTCTTTTATTCTTCCTGATTTATCTACATAATGAAAAGATAAAGTATCAATAACTACACATACACCACCCCAGCTAACCAGTAACAAATCCAGTGTCGTATTCTAAAGCTATTTGTTAGACTGTCCCAATTTCTCTTGGCAGTCTTACTATACTGTCTATGGTGGCATTAGAGAGCAACTCCAAGGATGCAGACAAGTTAACTATTGCTTTATCCAATTCACTGACTTCTAGCAGTGAGATGCTGTACAAAAACTCCTTTTGTCTCAAAAGATTGCTGTGGAGTGCAAGGACAACTGGAGGCATCTCTGCCTACACAGGAGTGTCAGGAACAAGGAAAATAAGGGGAATATCTTGATGCTTATCACCTCCTGGGCTACTCCTGAGATGCAGTGGCTCAGCCTTGTGTGGAGGCTCCACTTTCTCTGATGTGGATAAGCCTGCATTGGACTGTTGCACCTGTCAGACATGCCATTACTATGGGCAACCCAAGGAAAACTGGACAGTATATTATCAACAGTTTACAGGCCCAGTTCCGTGACTCATGGAGTGGCCCACAGACCCACGCCCCAGGGGAAGGGGGAAAAGTGGAAAGGGTAGGGAGATGGGCCTAAGAACAAAACAGTGGCAACAATCTGAGGAGGAAAGCTAATTCACTAAATATGATAGTGGAAAGCAAGATAATACAATATAATAGAATATAATTGGAATTGAAGCTAATAAATCCAAGAAAACATGAGAGCGCACGTCCAAAAACAGAAGACCTTACTCTAATGCTGAAGGCAAGATGGCTAGGGAGAACACACCCTGGCAGAGAAGAGCAAAAAGGGAAAAGGGCATCTCGTGATCTGCAAACAGTTTTATCTTTCCCTCCGAACTGAAAGTGGAAACAGAACAGTAAAGAGTACTCTGGGATATAGTTTTTCCTCTTGAGACAGGTATATCCAGAACTATTGACGGTCCATGGAACTTGAGCATTAACTCTTTAACTCCCAGCGCACTACATGATGTTATGATGTGGAATACCAATAACCAAAAATCATAAAACCATGACATTCCACCCCTTACTCCACATCACTACATCATGCATAATAATATATTATATATACAAACAATAATTAACAAGTATTAACCACACACACAGCAACATCAAATTCCTTTGTGGTACACATTGAACATCCCCATCTTCCTGCATCACCCACCAAGTGGACCCAGGTCCCTGGGCAAAAACAGCTCCACAGAGAGGTATACCCTTTCCAGAAGCTGGAAAGACCCAAACCACTTTTCCCAATATGCTCTTTACATGTACTACAGCAGGCCTACAGGCCCACCGGCCCAAAAAGGGAAAGGGGAACGGGTAGGGAGATGGGAGCTGGACAGAAAAAACAGAACAGCAGCAATGATCTATGGAGTCAATTTAATAAATATGATATCAGAACACAAGATAATATAATACAATATAATGGCAATTGAGGCTAATAAATCAAATGAAATGAGAGAGAGAGTGTCCCCGAAACCAAAGGCCTTACTTTGAACTGAAGGCAAAATGGCTGGGGAGCACACTCACACACTGCCAGGCAGTGAGAGAGAGCGAGTCCAGCAACTTGCCAGCTTTATCTTCCCCTCTAAATGCAGAGTCCTCTGGGGTATGTAGTTCTTGTTTTCTGAGAGCCAGGTATTCAGAAAATCAGCAGTCCATAAAGGTGGTGCATTAACTCTTGAACTCCCAGTGCTTTACATGACGTTATGATGTGGAATACTGATAACAAACATCATAAAATCATGACAGGGTGTAATGCTGTAACATGATGGAAAACACATCAATCACAGAATCATAGAATTGTAGAGGTCGGAAGAGACCTCTAGAGACCATTGAATCCAACGATCCTGCCAAACAGGCTCCCTACAGCAGCAGGTCATACGGGTAGGTGTGCAGATGGGTCTTGAATATCTCCAGAGAAGGAGAATCCACAACTTCCCTGGGCAGCCTGTTCCAGAGCTCTGTCACCCTCACTGTGGAAAAAGTTCCTTTGCATATTGGTGTGGAACTTCCTATGCTCAAGTTTATGGCCATTTCCCCTAGTCCTCTTCCCATCGACCTCTGAAAAGAGATTGGCCATGTTCCCTTGACTCCCACACTTCTCTCCCCAATCTGAGAGAGAGAAACTCCAATCAGAGTGAGACATCTAAATTCTCAGGGGCAGGGAGCAGAAGATTATTTTCATTGCTAATCTGGGGACTTACCTGATAATCAGTGCCCGCAATTTGGATCCTAAGCAGGGTGGCCCATGTTGTCTGCAGCATTCTCAGGGCACTGGATCTGCCGTCTCGGGGTCTTTCATTCAGGTCCCGCAAGGTTTCATAGAGTCTTTTCGTCTACCCCTGCAGGGACTGGGAGTCTGTCTTCAGGGCAGCCTTAAGAATACCATTATAACATTCAATGAGGCCTGCCCCCATTGGATTATATGCCAGGTGGAATCACCATTCGATGTTGTTTTCTTCTGCCCAGCGCTATATCATTGCACCAGTAAAATGAGTCCCTTGGTCGCTCTCGATGACTTGAGGTGTCCCGTAGGCAGACATCAGTTTAGTGAGTGCCTTGACAGTACATGCCTGGTTTGCTTTCGGTACTGGATAGGCCTGCAGTAGCCCACTTGCAGTGTCAACGCAGGTCAG